ATGTAATAACACATACATTAACACACTGACACATTCATGTAGTAAAATATACATTAACACACACTGACACATTCCTGTAGTAAAGCATACTGTAAAACACACCGAAACATTTGTGTAATAACACGTACGTTAACACACTGACACATTCATGTAGTCACACATACATTAACACACTGACACATTCATGTAGTAACACATACTGTAACACACTGACATATTCATGTAGTTACACATACAGTGTATCCTGCTGCATGCTCAATAATCCAGGTAGAAAAATCTAAAAAAGTTAAATCTGGTCCTGTGGACATTTAAAAAAAAATTTTGTAGAAACATTTCGTCTTTCATCTGAAAGACTTCAGTCTGAGGTGCTGTATTTATCTCAGTCTTATAAATAGCACCTTCTCGTAGTGGATCAACCAGTTTTTTGCTGACAGCCAAAACCTGCTGCTCACATGGTCAAGGAGGACCATCAGCCCAACCATTCATCGTTAGCACCCTGATGGCTGTTTAAGCCCCCAGTATACTGCCGCGTACATCCATACGCAGGGGTACGCACGTACGTACGCAGAGCGTACCCCCCAGGGCATGTCCATGCAAAGCCCAAGTTTTACGACCGCATAGGCGTACGCGGTGTCGCACAATAAACTGCCCAGCGATGGACTGTTTTGTATGCGACACCAATGTATTAAATTTCCCTTCTTCATCTCTGATCTGGCCTTTTCTTTTGTTTTGTTTTTTTGCCAAGAGGCAAGTGATCTCTTCCTCTTTCGTTGATGCAATGACTGAAATGGTGACAAATGAAGGAATTTGTCACGAGCGAATTAAACTCAGGTCCAACTTGACTGCGGGAGGGTCTGGAGATTTCCTGGTGGGCTGATCTGATGTGTGGGCTGTAGAGCCAACGCTCCGTTTTTTTTATTAAATTGTTTTTAGATCTTTTTATTAACAACATATAAACACAGAACACCGCTGCGGCTGAGGCTGCCAGCGCTCGCTTTTTTTTCTGACCTGTCAATCAATCCAGTAGGCGTGTCAGCAAATGACCAATCGGCGACCTCAATTTGTCCCGAAGGTAAACGCCCCTTGTCTGTGAAGCTGCTCTGCAGCTGCTCGGGGTGTACGCTGGAGTATGAAATCTGAACCGTCTGCGTACAGTATACGTGTACGTACGCGTGAACAGACGTACACGGCAGTATATTATAGTATATATATATATATATTATAGTATTTTAACCGAACAGTGTCAACCCCCCACTCGATCTCTCTGATTTGCTACAACCGTATGTCCCACCACGCTCCCTGAGGTCAGCGGACCAGTTGCTCCTCACAGTTCCAGGAACTCGTCTTAAGCGCAGAGGTGACAGGGCCTTCTCTGTAGCAGGACCAAGACTCTGGAACGAGTTACCTCTGCTTGTCAGACAGGCCCCCTCCCTCTCGGTTTTCAAGTCCTGTTTAAAAACTCACTACTATTCAATAGCTTTCAACACAAGATGATCTGTGTTTTGATCCTGTATGCTCCACACTGGTTTGTCGTCATTATCTGCATTGTTTTTTGTCTATATTCCGATATACCTCATTTTGTATTTTGCTTTGTGTGTTACCTGTTGTTTTGTCTGTACAGCACTTGGGTTGGCCTTGTTGCTGTTTTAAGTGCTTTATAAATAAAGTGGTATGGTATACTGGAAGCTTTACTATTCACAGGGGGCTGAGTGATACTAGCAATAACAGTATTGTAAGAGGGTGACAGTTAAACACACAGGCCTCCACCCCTGTTTAATGATGGACGGTTTCTTTTCACAAAGATGGTCTCCTTTACTCCTCTCTCAAACCATCATTCCTCTCTATCAAGGATGTGAACATCTTCATCATCATCACATACAGGGTCAACATAAAAGGTTTCCATTAGTCCGAGACAGCCTATTTTCGTCTCATACAACCAGATCTTGCCTTGAGGACAAACAAGTGAAATAGACATGGATTAAAGTTCTCTGTCGCCACAATGGATTTCTGTCATCTTTAAAAATAAAGGGGGGGGGGGGGGGGCGTGTTTTGTTATGGTCTTGTTGAAGCCATGCAATCTAAGTATGATCCAGGGATTAAATTGACTGCTTTCAACATTTAAAGAAAACCAGAGCCACAGTTTGATCCATTCAGAGCAGAGCAGGTTGTTCTGATATACAGTGGAGTATTGCAGTGTTCCCAGCTTAGAGACAATCTGCAGGTGAGAGCACTAGTGTTTCCTGGACTATTTTCCAAGGAGGTCACCCCGCTACCCTAACCAAAGGTGATGACATAATAAATTATTAAACGTTACGTATTAAACTTATGTTCACACGTGACCAATTCACTGCAGCCAGGAGAGACCAGAACTGATGCACCATCGTCCCCACCCCCTCCTCCCACACCACATACCGACCTCACTGGGACTTTTGTATCCATCCATCCATTTTTTTTCCACCTATCCAGGGTCGGGCCGTGGAGGTAGCAGCCTAAGTAGGGAGGCCCAGACTTCCCTCTCCCCAACTACTTGGGCCAGCTCCTCCGGGGGAATCCCGATGCGTTCCCAGGCCAGCCGAGAAACATAGTCCCTCCAGCATGTCCTGGGTCTTCCTCTGGGCCTCCTCCCAGTGGGACGTGTTCGGAACACCTCACCAGGGAGGCGTCCAGGAGGCATCCTAACCAGATGCCCGATCCACCTCAACTGGCTCCTTTCAACGTGGAGAAGAAGTGGCTCTACTCTGAGTCCCTCCCAGATGATCGAGCTTCTCACCCTATCTCTAAGGGAGAACCCAGACACCCTGCGGAGAAAACTCATTTCGGCCGCTTGCATCCGAGATCTCGTTCTTTCGGTCACAACCCAAAGCTCATGACCATAGATGAGGGTAGGAATGTAGATCGATCGGTAAATTGAGAGCTTCGCCTTTTGACTCAGCTCTCTCTTCACCACGACAGATCGCTTCTCTGCAGACGCTGCACCTATCTGCCTATCGATCTCACGCTCCATTTTTCCCTCATTCGTGAACAAGATCCCAAGATACTTGAACTCCTCCACTTGGGGCAGGACCTCCTCCCTGACCCAGAGAGGGTGCTCTACCCTTTTCCGGCTCAAGACCATGGCCTTGGATTTGGAGGAACTGATCTTCATCCCGGCCGTGTCGCACTCTGGTGCGAACCGCTCCAGTGAAAGCTGTAGATCACGATCCAATGAAGCCAACAGGACCACATTATCTGCAAAAAGCAGAGACGCAATTCTAAGGCCACCAAAACGGATCCCCTCAACACCTTGGCCACGCCTAGAAATTCTGTCCATAAAAGTTATGAACAGAATCGGTGACAAAGGGCAACTTTGGCTGAGTCCAACTCTCACTGGGAACAAGCCCAACTTACTGCCGGCAATACGAACCAGGCTCTGACACCTGTCATACAGGGACCTAACAGCCCATGTCAAAGGGCCCGGTACCCCGTACTCCCAGAGTACCCCCCACAGGGTTACCCGAGGTACGCGGTCGAACGCCTTCTCCAAGTCCACAAAGCACATGTAGACCGGTTAGGCAAACTCCCACGCACCCTCCAGGACCCTGCTGAGAGTGTAGAGCTGGTCCAGTGTTCCACGACCAGGACGAAAACCGCACTGCTCCTCCTGAATCTGAGGTTCGACTATCCGACGAACCCTCCTCTCCAGAACCCCCAAATAGACCTTACCAGGGAGTCTTAAGAGCGTGATCCCCCTCTAGTTGGAACACACTCTACGGTCCCCCTTTTTGAATAGGGGGACCACCACCCCGGTCTGCCAATCCAGGGGAACTTCCCCCGGTGTCCACGCAATATTGCAGAGTCGCGTAAGCCAACACAACCCTACAACATCCAGAGCATTAAGGAACTCTAGGCAAATCTCATCCACCCCTGGGGCCCTGCCACCGAGGAGCTTTTTAACCACCTCGGTGACCTCAGCACCAGAGATTGGAGGGCCCGACCCAGAGTCCCCAGGCTCCGCTTCCTCAGTGGAAGACGTGCCGGTGGGATTGAGGAGGTCTTCAAAGTATTCAGCCCACCGACCCACAACATCCCGAGTTGAGGTCAGCAGCACACCACCTCTACTCTAAACAGTGTTGGTGTTGTACCACTTTCCCCCCCTGAGACGCCGGATGGTGGACCAGAATCGCCTCGAAGCCGTGCGGAAGTCATTCTCCATGACCTCTCCAAACTCCTCCCATGCCCGAGTTTTTGCCTCAGCGACCACCTGAGCTGCATGTCTCTTGGACTGCCGGTACCCATCAGCTGCTTCCAGCGTCCCACAGACTCCTCCTTCGGCCTGACAGCATCCCTCACCGATGGTGTCCACCACCGGGTTCGAGGATTGCTGCCACGACAGGCACCGACAACCTTGCGGCCGCAGCTCCGGTAAGCCGCCTCGACAATAGAGGCACGGAACATGGCCCACTCGGACTCAATGTCCCCCACCTCCCCCGGAACATGTTCGAAGTTCCCCCAGAGGTGGGAGTTAAAGCTCCATCTAACAGGAGACTCTGCCAGACGTTCCTAGCAAACCCTGACAATACGTTTGGGTCTGCCAGGTCTGACCGGCATCTTCCCCCACCATTGGAGCCAACTCGGCACCAGGTAGTGATCAGTAGACAGCTCCGCCCCTCTCATCACCCAAGTGTCCAAGACATGTGGCCGCAGATCAGATGAGATGATGACAAAGTCGATCATCAAACTGCGGCCTAGGATGTCCTGGTGCCAAGAGCACATATGGACACCCTTATGCTTGAGCATGGTGTTCGTTATTGACAATCCATGATGAGCACAGAAGTCTACAGTCTTGAATTTTTCTGTAACTTGTTGATGAACCCTCTTCACCTGCTGACTAACTGATTTTTTTGTTGGCAAACTCAGATTATTTCTTAACAAATCCTGGTTCATGGGTTTGTTTTTCTATTTTAAAGAATGTTTCTGTTTAAAAAACCTGCTATAAGATGTAAACATCTTTGGGTAAACAGCGAGTAACATCTCTCCTCATCTGAGAGGTAAAGTCGACACTGTATCCATTTTAGACCTCCTGTTGTTTGTTGTGCAGGTAACTAAAAGTAGGGGCACCTACCAGAACCTTGTCCGGCTGATGGAGCAGCACCGAGCCGACCGAGCTGTCCAGCTTTCCATTCTCAGGTACTATAGTCTTCTCTTATTGTCATTGTGGCTTTTGAACAGCTCTTCTGATCAGCTTGTTGTTTCTGTAGGATCTTGAACAAATTTCTGGACAACTACGAGGAGGATGTACTGCCGTGGCACGAGAGCATAGAGCCCTGCTTGTCCACCATGACAGCCTTCATCAACGACAGAGAGGTCAGCCGTTCTCACATCACCAAAGTCATCTAATCCACCTTCCAACTAGTGCTAACCTGTTTTGATGACTCCACAGGTGGTGCAGCTGTTCATTCGCTTCCTGTATCGGCTGGCATCTCTCAACAAAGATTATGCTGTGGTCATGTGCCGTCTGGGCACTAAAGAGGTGCTGTTCAAAGCTCTGGACAAACACAGCACCAACCTGCTGTTGGTCACCGAGCTGAGAGACCTACTCAGTGACTGTGAGAAATATGCTAGCCTCTACAAAAAGATGACTACTAGCGTACTTGCAGGATGCATTCAGGTACATGGCAGACACATGTTCATCAGGGAGGTCAACAACACAAATAATTTTAATTTGTTTTGCTTTTAATAATGGCTACTTGAATTTGCAGGCGTCATCAGTTTCATCTCTGTGCATGAGGGCATGTGGGGGGTTGGCTGGGTATTGAAGGCTCAATTGTGATGGATACACTTCTCCACCAATCATAAAGTTCTGCTGTAGAGTGCATCCCCTCAAAATTTCCTGCCTCTCTTGCCACCCTGTGATTATTTTTCTTCTACTCGTAACTATAGGCCAGGTTCTTCACACCGATATTTGATCAATATACTTATTTTTGAAGGAGGTTAAAAGGTTCACTGTCAGTTAGGATAGGGGTGATTGGACAAATGTACAGGAATAAAGTTTTCTGTTGCCATGAAAGATTTCATTCAATTTGAACTTGGCTAGGACAGATATCCATCATCTGCAAAAATGAGAACTACAAAAACGCTTTTTTCTTTTTGTGGTTTTGTCTTGGTAAATCGGTCCAATCCAATTATGATACAGGGATAAAACTGATGCTGGTTTCAACAAATCAAGAGAACCAGAGCCTAAGTTTTACCCAAATGGAGCAGAGCAGGGTGTGTCTAACAACAATCTGTGACCGGAAGGCAGAAAAAAGCTGTGTGTGTGCGCGCGCGCTATGTGTTCGTTAAAAAAAATTTAATTTGAAAGAATATTTGCATAAATCCCTGAATATATAGACCATCAGAGGTTGGGGTCCATCAGACAATACATATTTTAAGGACAATAATTTAATTTTATCTAGCTTAGGTTTACTTTTTAAGGGTTTGATCTTTAAATGGCGGTACAATTCAAATTCAAACACAATGTAATGCTTCCTGATTGTGTGCAGTCCACCATATTTATTTCCAGCAACATCATCTCTGACCTTCTGTCAGGTGTTGGTCTGGTCATCTCTTACCTTCTATCAGGTGTCAGTCTGGTCCGTCTCTTACTTTCTGTCATGTGTCAGTCTGGTCCGTCTCTTACTTTCTGTCAGGTGTCGGTCAGGTTATCTCTTACCTTCTGTCAGGTGTCGGTCCAGTTTGTCTCTTACCTTCCGTCAGGTGTCTGTTTCGGTTCATCTTTTACCTTCTGTCAGGTGTCTGTCTGGTCTGTCTCTCATCTTTATCAGGTGTCAATCCGGTCCATCTCTTACTTTCTGTCAGGTGTCTGTCTGGTTTGTCTCTTCTGTCAAGTCAAGTCACATTTATTTATATAGCACATTTAAAACAGTAACTGTTATCAAAGTGCTTACCAAAGAAGATCACAGCATCAAATATTAATAACAACATATTACAGCAACATGAATAAAAGCATAAAAACATTGAATATAATGAGGAACAATGAAATACTAAATCAATATCACCCTGCGTTAAATGTCATGGAGTAAAAGCAAAATGGATATACACAATCATCAACAACGAAATACCAAATGAGATCACACTGTGTTAAATGCCAATGAGTACAGATGTGTTTTGAGGAGAGATTTAAAAATAGAGACTGAGGTTGCCTGTCGAATGTTGATGGGCAGATTATTCCAGAGTTTAGGGCCCATGACTGAAAACGCCCAAAAGCAGCTGGTCTGATGATCTCAAGGCCCGAGAAGGAGTATAAGGATGAAGGAGGTCGGAGAGGTATGAGGGTGCAAGGCCATTAACACACTTAAATGTCAGCAGAAGAATCTTAAAATCAACTCTGACATGCACAGGAAGCCAGTGAAGAGAGGACAGAACTGGAGTAATGTGCTCAAACCTGCGAGTTCCTGTTAGTAGCCGAGCTGCAGCATTTTGGACAAGCTGGAGACGTAAGAGAGAGACCTGACTGACTCCAGCATAAAGCGAGTTACAGTAGTCCAGCCGGGTTGTAATAAATGCATGGACTAATTTTTCTAGGTCGGATCTGGACAGGACGGACTTGAGCTTAACTATCTGCCTTAGCTGAAAGAAGCTTTTTTTGAAGAACAGAATTTATCTGCTTATTAAACTTAAAGTCCACGTCTAAAACTATTCCGAGATTGGTAACGGCCTGTTTTAGATATGGCTGAAGGGAGTCCAGGTTTGCAGGATCAGTGACAGTGGCAGAGCTAGGGTTAAACACAATGACCTCAGTCTTCTGATCATTAAAACTCAAAAAGTTTGCGGCCATCCAAGTCTTGATGTCATCAAGACATTTTTTAACAAAGGGCGAATGGAGGAGGAACTGTTAGGTGTTAATGGCAGATAAATCTGAGAGTCATCAGCATAACAATGAAAGGAAAGACCATGGGGCCGTTTACATGGCGTGTATTTTGAGTGCATCCGCAGCTTCCTCTCTGCGGTTCTGCTGATCATTTACACGACACCAGTGGCCCCACTCTTTGAATCCGGAGGTTTCTGAACCCACCTTCCAGAGTGGAGGTTTTTCTCTGACCCCCCACTGATCATGTAAACATCTCCCGCTGAGGCTTTGTGTTAAACCACATGTGCACACGCATGCGTGGACAGACGCTATATTTCTATCAACATGGCGGTGGACACACTGCTTTCAGAACTACGACTGATGGAATATATTTTTAATCTCGTAGTTAATCTACGTCAGATTCCAGGTGCTGTGACCAACATCTGTGTTGGAAGAGACACAATCTGATCCAATTCTAATGTTGCTGTTTATAGAACGAGGCACGCACACACATCGTGCTGCACTATAACATTGAAATGTGCTAAATAATAAGTTTAATAATAATAAACAGTATTTATCTTAAGTTTGAGATATATAATGAAGCTCTCTGAGCTAATGAAGCTATCTGGACATTATGTAATTCAAATTATGTGATTAAAATGATGCTAAACATATTGCATGCTATTAACATTGAAAATGAAGACATCAGGTTTAATTTTTATTTTATTTATTTATTCAGCACCACAAACTGATAATTAAACTGAACATTGAATGGATTGAATAAAATAACTGAGGGGAATTTTAAATAAATAGTTCATCCATCATCTCTCTCTTCGACGTCCTGCTGCCGAGCCTCGTTCAGAACCGGTCCGCCTGGTGGGAGACAGCTCCTTCTTCTTTCAGGAAAAAATAAAAACTCAGTTGGTTATTTTGTAACCGAAGTAAACACAAGCTAACATTATTAAGAACATTTAATTTACCTGCTGTAAACCAGTTACTGATTATCATGGAGTAAAGTCCAACATTGTGACTCGGTTCTGGTCCACTCAGAGACCGGTGTGGAGCTGTTAGACGAAGTGGTCCCGCTTGGCGTCAAATCTGTCGACACTCTTATCCAAAATCCAGCTTTAACTTGTTGTTAAGATGTTGTTAGCAGAGCTTTTTAGCTCACAGGACACAGCGTGCCAAGGGCGAGGCAGCACGCATGCGCATTAGGTGAAGGTACAAAATTCACAGCGCCCTCTAATGACCCGGCATGGTAACTACAGTGGATTCGGGAGGGCGGGGGGGATCTTGCGGATGCATGTAAACCCAAAATACGACCGGGTCAACGCGGATCTTTTCCTCTAATTAACATACGAAAAAACCTACTTTCCCCCAACGTGTCCGTGTAAATAGGGCCCATGTTTCCTCAGGATAGACCCTAAGGGAAGGAGATACAAAGAAAACAGAAGGGGTTCAATGAATGGAGCCTTGCAGGACCCCGCAGGAAAGAGGCACTGAAGTAGATAGTGTGTTAGCAAAATTAACACAGAAACTCCTGTCGCTCAGGTATAAATGGAACCATTTTAACGCAGCACCAGTAATCCCAACCAAGTGTTCTAGCCGGGATAAAAGGATACTGTGGTCCACAGTATCAAATGCAGGTGTCAGGTGTCAATCCGGTCCATCTCTTACCTTCTGTCAGGTGTCGG